TGTGTAGAACAAGTGGCGAAGCTTCTCCGTCAATTGGTCGGTGTCTTCCTTCAGAGCCCGAAAGCGGCCCAAGCAGCTCTTCTTCTCTTGTTATGTTCTTCCCTCAAGTCGTTCTAAATGCTCATCAAAAGTATACACGTGAAAAGACGTCTCCATGATAGGGGTGCCTTCCAGTTCCATTTCTGCATCTTTGCAAAGGGCTCCACTGAGTCTTCTTCCTATTTATTCGCAGTCCAATCTTCTTCCTTACTTCGTTTAGTTCCTTCAGCATCGTCTCTGCTTCAGTGATTTCGCTCGAAAAGAGAACAATGTCGTCTGCAAAACGAAGGTTCGACAGAAACAAACAGAAATCTCCCATAAACTCATATGCCTCTCTCGTCCCAGTTCAGTGACTTCAACACTCACTGCAATACCGCGGTGAACAAATTCGGCGAAATTATGTCGCCTCGTCGAACCCTCCTTTCCAAAGGGAATGGTCAAGGGGCGATGGAACAGCTGCATCATCCTTGTACAGTCCTTATAGGAGTCGGCTAACGTCCTCACGTAAGCTGAGTCCACTATTTGATCGACTAGCGCTGGTAGAATGGCGTTCGTTTCGACGCTATCGAAAGCTTTCTCGTAATCGACGAAGGTTAGGACGAGAGGCGTCGGAACTCCGGCAGACTTCTATGACCCTCGTAATCGTCTGCATTTGGTCCATGCAGCTAAATTTTTTGCGAAATCCAGCTTGTTCTTGAGATTGGGCTTCATCCAGTGTCCCGGATATGCGAGCGAGGATAATATTCGTGAAAAGTTTGTAGAGCACACTCAGCAGGCATATTGGACGGTAGTTCCGAAGATCCTTCCGTTTGCCCTCCTTAAAGAGAAGGACGGTTCTTGATTTCTCCACTGGTCGAGAATCTTCTCCTTCTGAAGGTAAGATGTCAAATGCGACGCTAGAACCTCGTGTAGACGGTGTCGTCCGGATCGCAGGAGCTCGACGGAAAGGTGATCTGGTCCTGGAGCTGTGGACGTCTTCATGGTCTGAATCGCTGCGCGCATTTCAACAGGTAGAATCCGTGGTGTCACTCCCGTGAGAACAACCGGCATCGGCACGGGTGTTGATAAGTGGAAGAGTTTGGTATAGAAATTCTTCGCGACAGATTCCATCTTATATCGGGAAGAAGTCGTAGTCCCATTTTGTTCAGTAGTGCAACCAGCAGCACGTGAAATTCGCAGAGGTCGTTCCCTTCGGCACTTCTTAAGAATTCGTCTTCCTTCGGCTGCTTCCAGTATCTTGGCTTGCCTTACTTCCTGAGATCCTCCTGCAAAGCTGTTCTGCAGCTGGCATTGGCTATCACTCGCTCGAGATGGGTTGCATTCGGATCTTGCCTTAGAAATCTTCTTCTTTCGAACAATTCCTTGGTGGTTTTCAAAATGCGTTGCAAGTTCTTTTCGAAGGTATCTGAGGCGCACTCTCCGCAGGCTCGCAATCCTTTCAAAAGCCGGATGTAGTCGTGCGTTGGATCCTCCTCGATGGGCCAGTCACAACTTGATATGAGCTCTCCTAGCCTGTTGTCGTCATAAACGATGATCTTCCTTCTTGCGGTACTGTGGCAGACCTTCTTTTCCAGCTTTCTAATGAATCGTACCTTCGCTCAAAGGAGGCGGTGATCGGAGCCGCTGCAGAAGGATGGAACTACTGAGACATGAGCAAGCTCCACCTTCGGTTGGTGAGAATGTGGTCGATCTCCGCGTGATCGTTCCGTTGGGCGATTCCCATGTCCACCGGCGATGTTCCTTCTTCATAAAGATGGAATTTCCACGGAAGAATCGTGCGGCGGAAAGAAGCCCAACGAGACGGTTGCCGTTCTCGTTCCGAAGCCGGATTCCAAACTTTCCGATCCTAAATTCCTCTTTTAGTGGCATCCCGATCTTAGCGTTAAATTCGCCCATAACGAACTTGTAGAGGAACTTTTCGTTGCGGACGACCTGCTCCACGTCTTCGTAGAAAGCATCTACTCAGACAATCGCCAGAGGCAGGCGGGCACCGGAAAAATAGATGGCTGATTTCTCGCACCCCGCTCGCGGATTTTTTGGAAAGCAATCAGGACTTTTTGGGACACCGCTTGTTGAGTTCCTCGATTCCTCAGAGGTTCAGCAATACATCTGCAAAAAATAAGAGCGAAAAAGATTCAACAGGTAGTCTCTCAAGAACTCACTAAGCATATTCCGGAAATTTGCGAGCGGAATGCGAAATGTCAGCAACGCGAATATTCCGGCGCCTGCCTGCTTTCGGCGATTGTCTGAGTAATTTCTGGATCGTCAGCTGCTGATGTTGGTGAGTAGCTGTTGATGATGTTGATGGTCTTCTGACGTGGAGATCGTAGTCGTAGGATGGCTAGTCGAGGTGACAGAATCTCATGCGAATCGACAAGATGGACGATAGATGGGTGGATGACAAAGCCAACGTCTAACTTTCGTGTTGGAACCTTTTCACCACGAATGATGAGGGTCCCATCACTCATCTGTCGCACGTCCTTCTTCCTGGACTTCGTTTCCTGCAGAGCGATGATGTGGTTCTTGATGTGCTCAGCGTCGAGAAGAGCGTGGAGGTCTGCGTTTGTGGAGACTGTCTTGGCGTTGTAGGTGTCTCCATAGCATCTCGTCCGGGCAGACGTGTCGTTTTTGTCCAACCAAAAGGCGCCCTGAGGACCCTGTCATAGTACTTGCTATCACCCGGCGCCGTAGGCGGGATCCGATGAACAGGATTTATTTTATCTTGTCTTGCTGACTAAGTAAGTATTAGGTTGGTAAGAAAGTTTTCGGTTTCAGAGAAAATCTGCTATTTCTCGAAACCTAACGCATTTACATCAGATAGAGGTACCATTCGATAGAGCAAAGCAAGCTCTACAAGATGGTATGCAAAACTTTGCACCAACTTCGACCCACCGTAAGTTTGCACTCAATATCTGAGTCGTACTGAAATTCAAAAAATCGCGAAAAATTCATATTCTTGTTCAAACAAATCCTACGGATCTCCAACTTTCACATAAAAATTGCGGACCACATCAGACACTCATATGCACCGTTCCTGTAATTTTTTCCTCATCTAGAAATCGTAAAAACAAAGCTGTTGTGCTATTTCCACCCATATAATTGAATAGTACAAGCCTTAGAAGTATAACCGTAAATTTTCAGCTCTCCAGAAGCCCTAGTTCCCGAAAATCACCGAATTGAGCGCTCCTTGCTCGGGCGTTCCATGCTAAAATCAATATTTTTCGACAACTAGGGCTTACGGAAAGCTGAAAATTTACGGTTATACTTTCAAGGGCTTTTACTATTCAATTACATCGGTGAAAACAGCACGGCTTCGTTTTCATACAAACATGAAAATTCTCGTTTTCTCGATTTCAAGAAGAGGAAAAATTACAGGAACGGTGCATATGAGTGTCCGATGTGGTCCGCAAATTTGTGAGCAAGTTGGAGATCCGTAGGATTAGTTTGAACAAGGATATGAATTTTTCGCGATTTTTTGAATTTCAGTACGACTCAGATTTTGGGTGCAAATTTACGGTGGGTTAAAGTTGGTGCAAACTTTTGCATACCATCTTGCAGAGCTTGCTTTGCTCTATCGAAAGGTACCCCTATCTGATGTATAAGCATTAAGTTCCGAGAAATAGCCGATTTTTTCTGAAAATGTCCGAGAACTCTCTCACCAACTTAATATAAATGTGTTTTCCCTACAAGAGCAAATTACTAGGCCAACTCTTGATTTCCACGAAGCGATCGCGGACCCCGGGCTTGGAGCGAGGAGAATCGCCTAGCGACTAGAAAACCAGAGCAGTGGATTTGGCCTGGCCAGCTCTTCGCTAGGCACCCGGCCGAGACTGGAAACGTCGAACTCCTTCACAACTTGGGAGAACAAACCGCCCGTCTTTCCTGGTCCTGGTCTTTCCTCTTGAGCGGATATCGCATTTCTAGAGGCTACTGAAGATTCTTTGATCAGTTTATTAGAAGAAAAAGCTTGATATTAGAGTCAACATATGAGAAGAGCAAACCACCTGGGTCAGAAAATCTGGGCTTGTCGTGAAGGCTTACTGGTGCTAGTTGACAAATCTGGGCGCTTGCTTTCTCGCTATGAAAAGCGAAAGAGCCCCCCCCCCCCCTGAAAGGAAAGGTAATAATGATAGAGTATTTTAGAAGATGTTTAGTTTAGAAGAAAGGAAGATCTTAACAGATGGATTATACATAGAATTGACCTGTTAACATCGTTAACAATCAACCATAGATAGACACAGTTAGAACTGCGACTCCGCTGATGGTGAAGAAGTGCAATCGCACTGGAACTGGGGATTGCTCGAAAGGGATACTTCTCATGCGCCCATGATGATTGGATGATGTAGAAAGTTTGCGCCTTATATGCGTTGATGGTTGCCGCCAAGAAGATTTAGAAACAAGCAGAGTAATTGCTTGTTAAATAGCAACTTATACTCTTCCATCAAAACGTAGGTGTAGTTTCCTGATCCTTTGCCTTCTTAGAAGTACAGCACTTCTTGAAGCAGCAAAATCAATACTGTTAGAATGAACCGAACAAAAACAAGAAAGCGAGGAAGAAAAAACGATAAAGAAAAACGATCATGCATGTTTCGCGATAAAGGCAAGTTGTGGTACCGAGTATCGGCCGGGACACTTTATGCTCGATGTGACGGCACCCCAGTGCTGCTTTCGTGGCGTCACCCTGAATTGGGCCGCCCACGCCACGCCTTAGATCATTTCAATTTTTCGAAGAAACTGTACCATCTTTGCAAATATTGCTTCCCTTGCGGCGGTTTATAGCGATTTCAGATTCAGCAAAAGTATCTAATACACTTGCAAGCATGTCGGCGATATTCTTTGTCGTTACTGTTACGACCGCTCCCTTATCTATTTTAAACATGAATTTTCAATCGGATTAGTTTGTTTACTTGACTTTGGATATGTGGATACATACTCAGTCTGATCATTATTAGGAAGTGTCAGCGGCGAAGAGGCGGCTTTTCTGATGGTGAGTCATCAGATTTCAGATCGCAGAGTTCTTTCGTTCCGCATCCCAGATCAAAAGTTACGCAATGTCAGCTGCGCTGATAATGAATAAGAGGAGGAAGCATTGGTGCGACCTGATATGAGATGCATACGTACGTAAACACGTTTGCAAATGCAGTCTCTCAGATTTGCGAGCTATTCGAAAATATGTGATAGGTCAACCGAAGCGAGCTATAGTAGTATGTATTTAACTCACATAATAGCGGATTGAGGCTAGAGCTTGTCCCTTAGCTTTCAACTGACTTGTGACATTCTATTTGTCAAGAGTCTATTATGACTTGTAATAAAGCGCTAAACGTCTGTCTTTTTGTGCATATTTGAATGTTTGTCTGTCACGAAATTCATAAAGGGAGCTGCAGCCAAACTATCGAGCTGCAATTTTGCATAACATACCGTACCAGCTTGTAGGTCCACCATGCACAAGGACGAGTCGGTTTGATTAGCGGGTCCTTCAAGGTTTGCGCGTCAAACGGGCCCACGCAAAACTAGGTGGCTAACTTGACTTTTTGTAAAGTCATGATTTGCCTGACCAGTAAATCTGCGCCCCATGCATTCTAGCCCAAAAACTGCTCAAAAAGTTTGCTTTTCTGGGAAAACAGCTCCAAAAAATGGTGATTGCGTAAATAGTCGATTGGCAAACTTATATAGGAAAAACTTGGCAAAAGATTTTTGCATGAAAATTTAACCCAAAATGGCTGTTATCCCCATCACAATTAACAAACCTGAATAAATTCAGTTCCATCCAAATTCGCGTTTCTTTGCAAAGTTTTCATTCTCAAAATTACCGACCTCACATGGAGATGCCTCAAGAATAAACGGTTGTTTACTATTCATTTGTGATGTTCAGTATTGCGCGGTGAGTTCCAAAGTCATCATTATGCGAGCACGAGAAAGAGTGCGAACCTGAGGCGGAAGTGATGCACTGGTAACAATTAATAGCCCATATATGAATATCCATAAATAGACGCTATACTCGCGAAGTAAACGCTCACGCAGTGCAGCGTCAGTGCCTTGCTGCTTCTGTGCTCGACCTCAAGGCGGACGCGTCTCGTATTGACCGATTAGAAATTCGGGACAGCCTAAGCACCCTGGCACGCAACTGGCACCAGCGACCATCATTCAGCCTGGAAAGACGTTGTTTATGACAGCATCCATTAGCTAGGCTGTTGACTTGTTTTAACATTTGCACACGGCCGCTAGCGCTCCATTGCTGCAGACAATCACGACGCTGATTTAGAATTCGAAGGCACCGCTGAGGCACACGCTTTGTCGATTTGTATTTTAAGCAGGGAACAGTCGGTGATGTCATGAGATATGAATTTAGGAGAATCTGTTTGATGAGGTAGACGACCTTTTGAATGAGGGACAGTGCATGGAAGCATACAATCTACTTGAAGCTGTTTGTTTAAGCTACTCTTAGAAATCGTGATGCCATCGGTGCTTTGTTTAAGAAATCTTTGAACAATTTGACGAACACGGAAAAAATGGGATGGTTCTACCGTGCTGCAATGGCTTGTTATAGCAAAGCGTGCACTGAGGAAATACACGCCGATCGTATCAACTGGCTTCGTAAAGGTATAGCGCATTGCTTGTTCAGAATTAATGTCAATTATTTAGCACACGATTATGCCCTCGAAGGACACAATCTAGACAGAAATGACACGGATATGCTCTCAGTGTTATGTTCAGCAACAGGAAAATTGGCAGAAGATAGCAATATATACGAAAAAGTCAAACTAGGATTTGAATTTCAGGTGAAACCGTGGTCACATTGACAATTGCTCAAATGTAGATTTTTTGTAATGCTAACATACCAACTTTTATACTGTGCTGGGAATACTAAAAGGGCATGAGTCAAGAGATAGGCGGAAAGGAGGCTGCCTATGATTACGCGACGATGAAAAAAGTTGTCGAGTAGCTGTTTATTCCTTGGAATCAAAAAAACAAAAAAATTGCGAAATTTTCGAGAATTATTGGGTGCGCAATGACCTGTCTACATTTGTGAATAACTGGAATATTCTCAAGAATTTTTGAGAAAATTTAAGAAATGTGGAAAATTCCTTTTTTTGGAATTTTAGGGTTATGGTCCCTCAAAAATTTTGGGAAGTACCCTAAAAAATATTAGGAGTGCGCAGCTAACGCCGCGCACTTTAATTCAAACTTTTTAGTTCCCCTCCCCCAGTCCTAAACAATTCCCGGGACCGCTGTTAGAGGTGGGATATAAAAAGGTAAAGAAAGAGAGTATAAACTGTGTAACATCCAAATTTATCATTCAAGCGTATCGTCTCAGGCTCTTGTTCACAATTACCCGTATTTCCGATAATTGTACCCAGTTGCGAACCTCAAAGTCTCACATCTTCTTATATATAAAGCTGAATGTCTGTTTGTTTGTCTGTACGTAGGTGCGGAACAGAGATTTTATTTTCAAACCGACTCGGACTAAACTTTTCACACATATGCTTTGGGGCGGGGCGGGTGTCGTAGGTTATCAACCGTTACCGATCAATATCGATTTTTTGCAAGTATGACTGAGCTACGGAGTTGGGAGTTGGCACAGAGAGACGAGTGAGCATGCTGAATACGAATACAAAATCAGCCTTCAAGTTTGTCGATTATCTTTATCAATTTTACCGTCTTTTGCAATTTTGTGCGAAGGATAAGTGAGCATGCTGACTACGAAAGCATAGTGGGGTCAGGGCACTGGTATGCAAAGGGGAGCGAGCCTGAGGAATGTTGCACGAAACGTATAGTATTTATAAAGCCGGCGGAGTCGGGTATGCCAGCTAGTGTTACATAAGTTTCCACTTTCAATTCCAGTTTAGGAATATCTCAATAAAGCGATTGCTGTACACGCCGATTCATACGAGTTCCTTCACATGAGAGGGCGACTCGCATATCAGGTCTCGGACCAAAGTCGACTGACCAAATTATATAATTTTTTTGAAGATTTCGACTTTGGGAACAGTAGAAAGAACTATTGCTCGGGCGATAGGCTGCCTTCCAGAAACTAGCTTGGAACAAGCTTTACAGGATTTACTGGCGGTTACTATTGACTTCTCCAAACAAATGTGTTTCTTGAAAATTTATTTTGCAGGCAGAAAGCTCTTCACCAGGTGAGATAGAAAATACTTTTTTTCTTGGAAAGACCTATGATGCATTGGGCGATTACAAGAATGCGACCATCTATCTTGAAAAGGTATTGCAAGATAATTCACTAGCGATTATTTTCGACATGTTAAAGGAATTCTCAATAATAAAATATTTAGGTGCTAACGATAAAAACCGATCCAAAGTGCATGGTGGAATTAGAATATGCTCAAGAAGCCAAAGTAATTCTGAATGGTCCAAAATACTCTCAAGAATCATAAAGCTATCAAGGAAAATTAATAAAAAGAGCTTTTAATTCCTTTATGTTAACAAAAGATACAGTAGAGCGAGCTGCATCAAGGTACTTTGAAGAAAGGACTAAAAACATCATCCCCTCCTCCACGCTAGTTATGCCTCTCACAATCCAGTTAACTTCACACGCTGCAAACCATGATTAACAGCTTCGACGGAATTGTGTCGCTCCCTCGGATCACTTCCCAACCAGTATGATCAGAGGTCATGGATTAGTTGTAATGTTGTCGTACGGTCCTTGTACTCTGATTCTCCAAGGTTAAACCTATCCTTGAGGGTAAATCTTACCCTGGAAAGAGGTTAATCCGTATTCACGAACGTGGCTCATCAGGGTAAATTCAACCGTAACATAGAGCAAGGCCACGGTCAATTTACCATGGCACTTCATATAAAGTGATCTCAGAACTATTGAGTCTTAACGATACTGTTTTGACAACAAATACATTTCTGTGCCTAACGTCTGATTAATAACGTCTCAGTTTCCAAGTGCTCTCTTTTAATCTCGGCGTTTAGTTGACTTTGTGTTTTTGATTTTGTCCAGAGAGGTTTTTGTGGTGGACATTTATTGCCTAACGTTTCGACAAATATCGTCTTCTTCGGAGGCCTTTAGTCCACCGTGGAGTTAGTAGTCCGCACGACTGTAACGGACATCACAGTGACATCACTGTCGCGGATTGGGCCCGCAGCTCCCAACGTCAGTGGTACAATTGCTCTCCTGCATCGGCGAGGGGAGCCGGGGGTCCGCACCGTGAGAATAGTGAAGCGTAACGTGTGAGGTGGCTACCTGTGTGACGATGCTTGTGCCTGCCACGTGGGAACTCCTTACACATCTAGGGGCCCTTGCCACCAGCCTGCTTAGTAACGACTCGTCACTTGGGACTCGACCTATGCTTCCAGCCATCGACAGCTGGGGCGTGCACTCACAACCGTGGCACTTAGCTAGCATCGTGCCAGCCTTCCTACAGATGTTACCCACTAGGCTTGATTACGAAATACACGCAAATGATAACACAATACTCCGGAGCCACAGTCGAGCTGTGGTCACCGCTCCAACACATATCACACCCGCACAATGCCCACCATTTATCCGCAAACTTATCCCTACACTCAAACATACAGGATGAGCACAACCGACCAGATGTTAGCCTAGGGGTCGGCAATATCGGAAACCCCCCGAGGCGGTGTCGCCGGCGTGTGCCAGGCGCGAGCGCGCTCGGGGTTACCTCGTAGCGTGGGAGCCAGTCCTCCGTGGCGTTGATGGAAGCGACGCGTGAGATGGGGTAGCGCTGATCGATCGATGGCTTGAGACGATTGGAACCCGACCGCTCACTGTGACGGCAGCTGCGAAGAATGACTACGTGACTTATTTAAACGCTGCGCAGGTGAGAGAGGTGAGAGGCGGGACAGCGCGAGGACGGCGTTTTGGGACCCTTCGCGAGGCGGCGGCGGCGACCTTTGAAGGAAGTCGCGAATCCGCGACACTCCGGGCAACGAAAAAGAAAGGGTCCGAGGTAGCTCCCGATCTGCCATGTTACCTACGACCCTACGAGTTAAACATACATACAAACCTACGAGTCAAGAATCCCTAGGTGGAACGCGGGACCTACAGCCTGTCGTGGTAACAGCCGGTTGTTCTCGGAGGTAAGCACGAAGAGTCGTCGGGGGCTCTACTCTGGATACTGGCGGGCTTCTTCGGCAGTTGTGGAGACGATGGTTGCGTTGAACGGCAGTTGAGGTGACCATTGACGTGACCATTGACTCGACAGTTGCGGCATCGACAGCTTGAACGGACCATGGAACTCGGCTTGACGTGGATGTTCGGCTTGACGTGACAGCGGCTCGACATTGGTGACGTTGAAGTGACGATGAGTTGGCAAAAGATGTTAAATTTGCCTACTGGCGCGGTTTTTCACGCCTGGGGATGAATTCAAAGCGAGGGGGAGATTTTACCTCGCAACACAAGACCCCTGGGGCGAGACACATGCGAAAGGGGGCATCCCAAAAACTCCAAAAATGACACGGTCTCCCACCGTGGCCCCCAAAACTCGACAGTTGGGAAGTAGGCACTTGAGATACACGTCAACTGCGGGCCAACCTAAAATAGGGTCAGCAACAAAAAACTGGGCGAGCTTAAGGCCCGCCAAAAACCACAAAATCAAAAAGAAAAGAAAATAAAAGGGTACGAATAAAATAGTTAAGCTAAATTAAACATACCCAAAAACCGTCAGTTGGGGCTATCGTCACGTGGGAATCACGCAAATTGGGAAACTCTCCATCTTCCACCCAAAACTCGATAGTTGGGGCTATCGCAACAGTGAACTCGAAACTTGGGGGATCTTATCCTCAATCTGAACAAATAACATTAATAAAGGAATGAAAGTTGGGGGGTGAGCGTAAAGCTTCACCAAAAACTCGTAAGTTGTGGAAACGTAACCTGGGGCTAATGATCGTGAGGCGAGGCATCTCTTCTCTGGGGCTGACGATCGTGGGGCGAGGCGTCTCTCCTCTGCTCTCTTCTGGCTCTCTGTCGCCTGCGCATGTCAGCCATTGCCTTGTACTGGTCAAGGGTGGTGAGGTATTCGTCATATGGGATATCACAGGTACAGTGGTGCTGTTTAAAGCAGAATGAGGTGTCGTGATCCTTAGAGCGGCACGACCGGCATCTCCTGCCATAGCGAGGGCAGTCTTCCTCGGCATGGATGCCACAGCACAAGAAACATCCGCCCCTCCTCGCATTCAGATCCATCCTCTCACTCAAAAGAGTGTAGTTGGGGCAACTAGAGGAGTAATGGCGCTGCCTGCAGAAGTAGCAGCGGATGTTCTCGGGCGGTGTATCCGGCCTCCTCTGCTCCCGCTCTCTCTCCTCCATCGGTTCGTCCACCTGACGCTCACCTGAAATGGGGCGTGGGGCCCCATCCTGGGGGGCGGGCGACACGTGGGGCGGCGATGTTGCAACCGATGTGGAGGTCACCTCCGATTCCCTACGAGACCTCTTGGGGGCTCTAGCTGAGCGGGATCGATGTCGATCCGTCGACGACGATGGCAACTCGGCGATACCAGCAAGGACTTCTTCCTGGATGTCGTCTTGGTGTCGCTGTCGTGTGCGAGAGCGTGAATGCGGGCGCTTCGATGGGGTGCTCTGACGAGCTGTGGCTGTCGCAGATTGTGGGTATGGCTCATGGGGATGCGCTTCGAACCTGCGCATAATGATGACATGGTATTGGTGACGGATTCTTTCCATCTCCGCAACCATTGTGGCGGACGTGAGGTTGATCTGGGTCAACCCGTCCGGTGTGACTCCATAGTGGGCTAACAGAGCAAGCCTTTGCTGTAACTCAGCCGGCTGGAGATGGAATAACTCTGTTAGACGAGTATTGACCGCGTGTAGACGATAGTTGATGTTATATGTGAGGGTGTAGATGCGGTCGATCCTCTCTAGGAGTCCCTGGGTGTCTGGCAACGGCAGCTGGGATGTGGAGTTTATAAACTTTGTGGCTTCCGTAACGGCGTTGTCGAGTGCTTTCAACTCGTACGTGACCATTAGGGGCATCAGATGCTCGGTCTTAGCTCCGATGAGATCCTCCTCCTGGGGCGAAAAGATCTCTTTCGTGAAGAGACTGCGGAAGCGTTGCCCGATCTTACTGTGGAGGTATCCATCGAGGAGCACATAATCCTGTTGTCCCAGATGGGCTGGGTCAAAGATGTGCCTAAAGTTGAAAGCTGTGGTGAGCTGCTGGAGCAGACTCAGTGCGGGTCGATAGGACTGGGGGACAGCGTGAGCCTGGGTATCGCTGTCAGCTTCACGGAGCAGTCGACGATTGGGATTATACCCTTTGGCGATCGCGGTGATGAGTTTGATCATCGTCGGCTGGCGAGTGCGGGGGTCTTCTCCCGGTGGACATAGATGGGATACGTCCACCTGGGGTGCGACCACTGGGGCGGGCGTTGGTTCCGGAACTTTCGCGGACGAAAGCTCACGGATGACCGCGGCCACAAGTGCGGCGCCGCTAGGATCGTCGGCGGTCTTCATATCGCGATCCTTGGGGGGAGTAGGCTGTCTCCTGGGCGGCGTCCGCTCTCGCTCCGAGGAGCTCGTCCTCGAATATGATCGAGGACGTCTGCGAAACTGGTAGGCACTGTCCTTTGGGGGGACAGGCACTCCTCGTTTCGACTTCTCTTTAATCGCCATCAGTTCGCTTGTAGTTGGTCAGACTACAATCGCTATTACCTGAAAAGCGAAGTATGAGAATGGGGGTACGACGTACTGTGACATGCATACACACATGGAGTGTAACATGGGTTGATAAAAGATGAGAGAAGGAAAGTGGGCAGAGAAAAAAAGTGGGAAAAAGAATGTGGAGAGAAACATGAGGTCCTTACGATGCATAAGGCGTGATAAAATGAAGTGTAAAACAAGTGAGGTCAATTGGTCAGGTCGCGCATGAGTTATAACATGTAGCATGCAGTATAACATGTCGAACATGTATAATGGGAGAATGATGTGAGAAAACGTGTGAGAGAGTGAGTGTGAAAGGTGTGTGAGTGAGGGAGAATGTGTGAGAGAGATAAATGTGAGTAAAGAGGAGTGTGAGTGTGAGAGTTGTGAGTTAGAGTATGGGGTGAAAGAGTGTGAGTGTGAAAGTGAGATTGAGGCAAAATGAACTACAAGAGTAGATAAAATGAGAACGCGCGCACAAAACAAGAATTTCTTGCCTGACCAATGTGCAAAAGTTATGTGTGAGTAAGGTAGATGTGAGAAAGAATGTGTGAAAGGATGTGTAAGAAAATGTGAGAAGGAATGTGAGGTGTGAAAGTTGCAAAAGACAAGCCACTGCCTTTTTGGCACAGTGTGAGGAAGAAAATCAGAAAAAACAAACGACAAATGGGAATGTGGCTTGTTAGGAGATGAGAATGAAGAGAAAGTACAGAAATGAACGCAACATACAAGAAATCGCAAAGGAAGATGTTAAAATGACAAC